CTTAGCCATGTTTTGGTTTTTTTGTGGCTGTTACCACTATGTTTTTGCTGATACGCCGAAATCCACTAATTTCACTGTTCTGTTCGAAGTTTCAGCTGCCGTCTCGATTCGCGGTGGACTTGTTGGCAGTACTGCGAATAAACGATTCTCTTTGTTAGAATCGAAGCCACATTCCTCATCTGTGACGTCCGAAACTAGTCCCAGTAGCAGTCCAGATGATGTTGTGGCCACACCGCTGTCAAATTGCGAACAGCAAAGTGTTAGCAAGGTGAGGATGATCTTGTTTGCGGCTTCTACGAGTCATCAATCTTTCTTACAGGAATCATTGTTGGCCTTATATAGAACTTTGGAAGAGTGCATGCAAGATCTTCGCAACGAAAGAGTTGGCAGAATGACGCAAACTTCTCGCACAGACTCCCGGCTAGCAATGCTTATTCGACTAAGCGATGTTATGCAGCAATTTCACACCACTTGTGCCATCTACGCTGAGCAAATCACCCCGCATAGCAAGTTCAGATATCGGTTAGTGAGCTATCTCATCACGGCTTTTTCAAGAAGAAGTGGCCTGATATGTTTACGCTTTTAGCGAGCTGCTGAACCGACTCGAAGTGTTTGTGCGTCAGCTAAGAACGTGCGCCTCTGGATCAGCAAGTAATCCCGATTTTGCTGAATCACATATCCTTCCTCAGTTCGAGGTCACCTTCCGCCAAATACTGCAACTAATCAATCGTTAACATATACTTTCGAGTAGTTATGTATATAAAAGTAATCAAAAACTTCAAATTATTCACTTTAAATTGTATGGGTAGTTATTGGCTGCTTAAGCGCAGTATCGGTTTCTGTTACTTCACATCTTTACGTTAGTAGGAGCTTCCAAAGTCAACACCCATACTGCCGAACTTCACAGTGTACCGCGTTGTTCTCTTGAGTTGTGTTCGCTTCGATGTCATATTGACCATATGTCTTCCAGCCTTTCTTCACACTGGTGCTAAATATCCTACGCATGGTTTTAGTTAGATATATTTCTTATAATATCGGTTACCTAGCGTACTTAATTGAGTCGCCGTCAGAATGTGCTCACTTTTTTGGTGGTGTCTGACTGTAAATGTATCAAACGTTACAATCTATCCGGGTCATATTTTCTCCTTGATGTTGTACTTCTAACTGAATTCTTGACTGATCTGCTGTTTTTTACTCATTTGTATCTATGCTTTTTTTATTTTGATAGAAGATGAGAAGGAATTCCTGCTTAGCACGTCTTCATGTGTAACCCCTATTTATAATTATTTACAAACAAAGTTTTCGACCTGATTTTTGTCGTGCTTCA